GAAGAAGAAGAAGAAGAAGAAGAAGAAGAAGAAGAAGAAGAAGAAGAAGAAGAAGAAGAAGAAGAAGAAGAAGAAGAAGAAGTAGTAGTAGTTCACACTGTGTCTCGTCCTTGGATCGTGAACGGCACCGCCGTTTAATTGGAAAACGAAGTTTACGAGCGAGGATGTGAAACCGCGACGCGAAGAGAAGAGAAGAGAAGAGAAACACCGTTTCTGGCACCGCAGATCTCGCCGCAATGGCGCAAGTGGCGCGACGAAGAAGAAGCACGTGGCGGATGTTACACGTACGAGGATGATGAGCGGTGAGTTTTTTTTTTTTTTTTGCCTGGTTTACGTCATCCTGTCCCATTGCATTACTATTCAATTAAATTGTTTGGAACGAATATCGTAAAATTTGTAATTATCGCTGCATTTGAAAGATTCACGAAATCGAAAATACAGTTTGATGGTGATTTCGCGAATGTGCGTGAGTATTTCATTTCATTTCGATTCAAATCGAATCAAAGGATGTCGGCGAAGCGTGAACTGCAGAGAAGAATGGCGAGAAAAGTTTGGAGAGTGATGAAAAGATTTTTTTCCAGAGAGAGAGAGTTCGCGCGTTTTTATTCAGTCGAAAGTCGACGAAATCCAAGACGAAAGTCTGCTCGAGCCGATCAAAGTCTGTCAAACTCTTATGATAATTATGAATTTTGCAAATTGAAACAATTATGATAATTATGAATTTTGCAAATTGAAACGAACCTACGTAATAACTAAAGAACTTGTGTCGGTTCTTTGCAGGATCTACGGCTGTGAACACGGAGAAGGACAACGCTGAGCATCGAGAGGGCAGTTTTCCAGCTGAAAAGTCTGCTTGGTTGGTGAGTCGGTTTTTTTTTTTTTTTTGCTTTTTGTCTTTTCTTTCTTTTTTTGTTTCTTCTCACCGATAACGAGAATCGAGTTAAGAACCGGCGAAAGAATCGTTTGCACAGTTGGCTACTCGAGACTGTCAACTGCAAAGTGACATAATTTGGTGAATTAGCAAACTGTGGACTTTTTTATGCGAATCTGGAGCTCGGAGCAGGAGTTGAAAAAAAAAGTTTGTTTTATCTGCCAAATATTAAAACATGTAGAAATATATTTCATGTGTGTATAATATTTTATTTCACGTAGATATTGTGGTTTTACTGTTCAATTTTCACGTATGATTTCATTTTGAAATCTGTTCTTCTGTTAATAGTACACAGTCATTTTGAAATCTTCTGTTAATAATGCATAGTGTATAATACTGTTAATAATACATAATGATAATAATGAAGTAATGTTCAGATTAAGAACTCGATTGTTATTATTATAATGAATAGTACTTAGCCAGTTGATTCTTTCGCACTTAACCCTATCAATCTCGATTTTTCAAATTTTAATTTAAATTTAAATCTTGAAATTTAAGTTGAATTTAAGTTGAATTTAAACTGAATTCAATTTAAATTTAAATCTTAAAATTTAATTTTAATTGAATTTAATTTAAGTTTAAATCTTAAAATTTAATTTAAATTGAATTTAATTTAAATCTTAAAATTTAATTTAAATTGAATTTAATTTAAATTGAATTTAATTTAAATTGAATTTAATTTAAATTTAAATCTTAAAATTGAATTTAAATTTAAATTTAAATCCACTCCTTTTAGCTTAAATATATTACGGAGTCCAAAAATGAACTCCAGTTTTGGAAAACTTTATGACAGTTAAGGGTTGAGCAGAATTTAACGTTTTCATTTGAATGTACGTGACACATTGATAATAATAGGCTTAAAATTAACTAATATAAACCTTCTAATTTAAAAAAGGGAAAATAATCGTCTATTAACTCCAGAACGAAAGAAACAAATCGAGAGTTGAATTATTGCGGAAAGAGAAATGGAACAGCGTCAGTTTGTCTAATTTTCGATTCTCGCGGGCAGCTTTAAGTTCGAACATCCGCCGGACGAATCGGCAAACGAAAGACTCGCGACGAAATGGCTGTGAAGCTTAAAATCCCTCGTCTCGTGATAAAACGATAAATAGAAGAAGGCAAATTACGAAAGCTCGTAATTCGAACTTTGATCCCCTGAATTTAAACAAGAAATCTAATTTTTCGAAGAAATTTTTGATTTAAATCCAATGTCTCGATCTCACAGTTCGACGATTGAAATCGTTAGAAAACCTCAAGTCGTGGGAACGTCAACGTCGTCAGTGTTCTTGACTTTTTATCAATCTTTTAGATTAAATTTTAATTTTCAGTCCGTCACTGTCGAACTTCTTCGCAAAATTTTAACATCTCAATCTCGTCGAGGAGTCGAAGTTTGCAATTTCTCAATCTCTTAATTCTTCCGATTCCTCGAATTTAATTAAAGTTGGAAAATTTAGATCGACGTCGTGTACGGTGGTCGAAAAGAAAAATTGTGGGGCAAGGGGGGGGGGATCCGAGAGCGAAGAAAACGATCGCAGTGGATCCTAGCTACGTTTTCGACCGTTCAAACTCGCGCGTCGAACGATTTCGCTTTCACTCTCTTACGAATAGACACGGGCGGGACACGCGATCATCTCGCTTAAAATCAAAGGCGAGCCGTGGGCCACCCGCTCGTTGAGTATGTATCTAAATCACAGTTCGTGCTACTAATTACTTCTAAAAAAAAAAAAAACTTTTATTTTATTTATATATATATATATATATATATATATATATAGATATCTCTCTCTCGATACTCTGGTACTTACCGATTTCTACGTTACATCTGCTATGTATAGTCTACTTATAATGTCTCTGTTGTGTGTATACGTTACGTAAAATTAAAATTAAAGAGTTAAATTAAATTAAATTAAAAAAAAGAAAACAAAAGATGAGAGAAAAAGTGAAGGGAAGATAGAGGGAGAATTGAGATGATGAAGAAGATGAGGAAGAGTGATCCTCTGTGGAGTATCTTCGATACGTTGATGTATCTCGTAGCGGTAAAATTTTAAATATCGATCGTAATATCGTGCACGATCATCGTTTTTTTCCGTTTCTCGTTTGAAAAGAACAGCGACAGATCGTCTCGTTTCATTAGAAACAACGATCGAAGAGTTTCTAATGAAACTGGAAAGGGGGTGGCTCCACTTTTTCAATACATTTTTTTTTTTGTCACATATATATATATATATATATATATATTTATGTCATTTCGTTAAAAAAAAGTAGTAGAGATTCTAATTTTACCTGGACGAAGACAATACTTTTTCTTGAATGTTTAAATTAAATTAAATGCACAGAGTGAAGCAAAAATGATGCTAGAGCAAGTGCTACACACTCGATTATTTTTATCGACGACTAACCAGAGTGCTGTATATTAAAAGATACATTAAATTCAATTTATAAATTAAAATTCATTTATTTAATATGTAAAAAAGTAATATTAACACATAACACACGAATTATTCTACGATAATTTCGTCTATCCAGGATCGAAACAGTGTCTCTCTCTCTCTCTCTCTCTCTCTCGTTGGTCTGTTAGATGAAAATTGACAAAGTGGAGCTGCCCGCCCTTTCAACTTCACCGGGGCACGTGTCGATCGACGATTCGACTACAGCTCGCTTCGAAATCGATCGATCGCCCAAGGTCACCCACTAGACTCCCCACCACGTTACTCAATTTCTCTCTTTCACCTCGGATTTTTATTTTCCTATCAAGGCCCGTGACGCGTGAAACGATCCAGGATCGATCGACGTCGAACGAGGAATAATTAATCACGAGAATAAAACGAAAACAAAAACAAAAACAAAAAAAAAAAAAAAGAAATAAATGGCGATCGGTGCTCGCCTGCTTAAGCTAATCGTCGTGAATCTATCAATAGGAGTCTGTTTAGGCCTGCCAATGCAAGTTTCCAAGCGCGTGCACACCATTCACGTGATCGCTTTCATTTCGTTGTGGAAAAAGTCGAGTAATCGATGGGGAAGCTTGTACAGATCTCCCGTGGATAGATTCACGATACGTGATTTGATCCTACGGACGGCATTTCGATTAATAGACGCTGTTGCGCGCGAGAAACGGGGGGGTATAGTCGGTGCGAGAGATACAATGTTGTTGTAAAATTGCAACGTACAGTTATTTTTATGATCGTTGCTCAATTTGATTTTCAGTATAAAAGTCTGAGACATAATATACGAGATATAAAATGTGGGTAGAGTTTCGTTTGCTTAGAGTTATAGCTGTGAGAAACTCTTCGATTTGAAATCTGCTTTGTTTCAAGCTGGAAGCAAATTATACAGGCAAATTACAAATAATTGTCTGTTATGAATTATAGTCGTTTTATTTGAAATCTTAACTCAAACAGACTGATTCGAATAATAATTCAAATGATTTTGAATTATAGTTTAAGCGAGTAGTTTAAATTTCTTCGTAAATTTCGTAAATTTAAAAGCAATTTGAAAGATTTCTCATTAGGTAATAGGAGTTTCTATCATAGTTATCGTACCCAAGAAATTATCGTCCAATTTACTTTTCTAGTCTATGTGGAATGAACCAACCAATCTCGTTCATATAAATGAACAAATAATCGACATTTAATTCGTTCACGTGAAATGAAGTACGAGCTTCAATTTATTCACACGAACTAACGACACGAGTACGAATCTCTTTGACCTAATCTATAGCAAAGATATAGATAAACTTTGCCCATCTATATAATTTTCTTTCCTAAAAATTAACTTTTTTTTTAGGAACATTATCACTCGTTGTCAGCTGACAATTATTTAATAGAACTCCAAATCTTCTCAAAATGCCTCTAAAGAAACACATAGCTCTCTAATTTCTCGATATTCAAACTCCATAAACTTCGATATAACCACATGTAAATAATTTTACAACTATCACTATATCGCTCAAGACACTGACCGCACGTCGATGCACGATATCAGAGAGGACCAAGCTCGCATAACTCACGAGCGCCGCCACGTGGCAACTCGCGCAACCCCGACTTAAACATCCCAGACTGCTGTCCTTCGCCAGCCTCGTCGAATAACTCTCCCTAGAAGACGCGATCGCGAGACATTACTCGAAAAAAAAGATCAGTCACCCGAGGTTGGAGAGCGTGGCAAGAGCCGAAAGAAAGAAAGAAAGAAAGAAAGAAAGATTAAAAAAGAAAGAAATAGAGTAGAACGAGAGAGATGGTAATAAGAGGAAGACTCGCACGGTGTGTCCCTCGTTGATCGTCACCGATCGTCGTGCAAGATCCGCAAAACCACGCTGTTGAATGCAGAACGAAGCAGCAACGATCGAACGCGTCCAACTATAGACGCCGGGATACCAGAGATACATTTTTACTGCTGCCTGGTGCTCCTCTTCCTGCGCGACTAACTGGGCGGATTACACGCGCTCCCTCCCGCTGGATCGACCGAAACCTGGTGCGCTTGACTCCTGTTCGTCACGTTGCTCGCCGTGGTGGCGCTAGTCTCGCCGGAGGGGCTCGGGTTCCCGCTGTTGCCGTTGTTGCTGGCGCCGCTGCCAGCAGACGCTGCCTGTTGCTGGACGCTGGGCTTTTGCGTCACGTGGGTCTGATAGTGCTTGGCCAGATGCGCCTTCTGGCGGAAGCTCTTGCCGCACAGTGAACAGGCGAACGGTTTCTCGCCGGTGTGCGTTCTGATGTGCACGTTCACGCTGTACTTGTCCTTGAAGCCTTTGCTGCAGATGCTGCAGTAGTGCAGGGAACGTTCCTTTCGTTGCACGCTGCCCGGCGAGCCTCCGGATCCACCCTGCTGTTGTCCACCGCTGCTACCGCCGGTCTCTGCGCCGCTGCTGCCATTGCTAGCCGCGTTCGTGTTGCTGCTGTTTCTGTTGGTGCGTCGGCAGTACTTTTTGGGGGCCTTCGTGGCTGCCACCCTCGACGGGGCGATTTGAAGCTGGCTGGCGGACTGTTGCTGCTCCACCTCGGCTCGAGGCGCAGCCTGTTGCTGGAGAACGTCCTGCTGAGCTGCTGTCACCACTGTCACTGTGCTCACTTGGCCCAGGTCCGCTGGCAGAGTGATCGTTCCCAGGCTACCGCTGGTTGGATCCAGGGTGTACATGACCGTGGTCGTCGCGGACACGTTGCAAACTGGCTCCAAACTGCAGTACGACTCCACCACTTCGTTGGCTATGCTCTTGAGTTTCTCGTAGTCACCGGGACGATAGGTGGTCTGATCCAGCTGAGAGAGTAGCAGATCCTCGTCGGTGCAGGTGTGCATAGACTCGTCCTGCTGTTGTTGCGGCTGCTGCTGCTGCTGGGGCTGTTGTTGCTGCTGTTGCTGTTGCTGCTGCTGATCGGACACTATCTGCAGTCCGGCGTTACTCGTCACCGGCATCGGCATGGTGGATCCTCCTTGAGCAGAGGGCGAAGAGGACGAAACTACTTGAGCGGGTCCGGTGTACAATTTCCCTTGGAGAGCACTCCTCAGCAGGCTCTCGGCCGAATCACTGGCCCCAACCGCGACAGCGGCGGCAGCTGCGGCCGCTGCCTCCTGCAGATTCTGGTCAGAGAGTTTCCAGTCGTTGTTGTTGTCGCCACCGGCGCAGTTACCGCTGCTGGACGATCCTCGGCCGCACAACTCCTTGCTCTCGACGAAACCGCTGTCGTCGGTGGCGTACTGGGAAGACGCGACTGAGAAACGATCCGGATGAAACCTGTCGTTCACCGTTCTGGACACCTCGGACACGTTCGTGCTCTGGTCGTGTTCCTGCTCGGTGGACGCTGGTTCCATGCTGAGTATAGCGTCCAGGTCTAAATTAGGCCGCAGAGACCAGGAATCGCTGGACGTGGGCGCTGGACTCTTGCAACAGTCCAACGCGTCCATAGAGTTGGCCTCGTTGTTCAACACGGTCAACGTGTAAATCGCGCCGTCGGTGTTCTGTCTGTCGTTGGCCGAGCATCCTCGGCCCACGCCTTGGTGGTGCTCGTTGGAACCCTGGTGCACGTTCACGTTGTCGTTGCCGTGGCTCTGTGCATTGGCGTGCGCTGACCAGCAGTACTTGTTCAGGTCCTCCAACAGTATGTTACACGTTTGCTCCTTGCTCTCGTCCGTGGCCCAGTAGTCGCAGTCCGACTGGTCCATCGGCGTTTGCTCGTTGCTCTGCTGGACGTTGCACGCGCTGTGATGCGTCCTTACGTGGTGATGGTGGTGATGGTGGCTCAGGGAGCCGGTGATCGTTGACACCGGTGGCAGAGCTGTCAGAGTGTTGTTGTTGGTCTCCTTTATGAAGGGGGAGCCGTGAAGGTCGCGGCTCGCCTCGTGTTCCTCGTGTCCTTGCTGAAGGTAGCCTATGCTTCTGCAGGTGGTGCGATGAAGGAAACTCTCTTCGTCGGACACGCCGTCTGTCGAGGCGCAGTGCGGAGGTGGAGAGACGACAAAGTCGAAGAAATCGGTCTTGGGCAGATCTTCCCCACCCCCTCCCGGGGTGAATGCCTCTGTTAGATCCATGGAGTTGATTTGGTACTTGGTCCTCGTGGTGGTTTCTGTTTCTTTGAGTCCGAGTTCCAGGTGCGGCTCGTTGGGTTCGCAGTTCCGCAGTTTGCTGGGTGGTGGGTGGTGGATTTCAGTAGTAGTTGCTGGCGTGTCTCCTTGCCCACCGCATCCTTGAGTTCGGGGAGCGACCTAGAACATGGAATCGAATGTTTAATTTAATCTGATTGACTTCGTTTCAATCTTATGGCAAGTTTATCTTGTTAAATGTTTGATTTAATATTTATTTACTACCGAGGTGCATTACTTAATGTGTTTGTCAGTATATAGTGTATGTATGTTGATAGAGTGCAATTATAAATTGTGTTTATTCATCATTGAAATACATTGTTTACCGTTGTACACATTATATGTTGTTAGCACATTTCTTTGCACAAAGGTAAATAATGTACAGAATAGAAAAATTACAGACAACACAGTCAAAAGTGAGAAAAATAAATGATAGACCAGCAAGTTGAGTTAAATTAAACCAGGGCTGAGAAATTGAATGAACCTGCGCAAGTTGCAACAAACAATAATTGACAGGGAAAACATTTAAGCAACTCCAGTGACAAAGTTGGAGAAAATGAATCCAACTGAACATATAATATTTTGACAGCATTGTCAAATAGCTTTTAAATTTCAAATTATGCGCACCCTCTATGTATGTTACTTCAGTGATTGCCTAAGAAGCTTTTGGAAGTTTCTCTGAAAATAATCACAAGATCTATTAATATCAGAAATACGTATAGGCACTATCTCTCTTGCTGTCAGTATGTCTGTTGAGTTTTTTTAATTATTAACTCTTTAGAATCTATCTGTGCCAGACTCTTATTATAATATTTTGCGATTACTTTGCACGTTGAAAAGGAGGAATTAATATGAACGACCAGAATTGATTTTCAATTTTACTGAAGCATCAAGTTCTATACAAATGATTTATGTCGTTGACATCGTTTCTCCTTCGTGAGGATGAACACTGGCAAATTGCCTGGAGATAGCGATGATGCCATCAAAGCCCTTGTCGTCACTCTTGTCGTTAGTTGTGACATTCTTTGATTAACCTCTGGACTCTGACCTTTATCATATTTTGAACGTGCGATTTTCTAGCAATTAATTCAACGAATATAATATTAAATAATCGATGGTATTGCCTTATTTCAAAAATAATTGTTGAAAAATGAATTTTTGTCGATAATTTTCAACCTGGCCCGAATTTTATCCATAAATTTGCAAAGTGAAACTGTCAAAAGAATTGGTGATTCAGTTTGCTCTATCTTTTAAAAATTCTCGTTTCTTCGTTTGGCTTTAGTGATAGAATCAATCAAAATTGTAATTAAGAAGAATTTAATATAACTAAATTTATTGAAATTGTAGTTAAATCTATTTTTAAATATTACAGTCTATATTCTAATAATGTTATAATCAATTTTTGTTAATTCGTCATAGATAAAAATATCCCAGCTAGTCCTTCCAATGTTAAGTATAATGCAAAGATATTAACTTGCAGAAATTACGAAGGCTAAGATTATTTAGTTTCTTTCAGTAAATTCTATAGATAGACTGCAGAAAATTGTAATCTCTCGCTCTATTCACATATTGAAATGTTGTCATTTATTTATTCTCTGTGTACTTGTCAGGAGTGTATAATAGTATAGGAGGAACACTTGTCGCACTCCAAGACCCTAACAATAAGATTCATCGAACATATGTTCGTATTCTGAGCTTTCCCTGACAGTATTATAATTTTCCTCGACTGCCATTAATACTTTGATTAAAATTCTTCAAGCGAAAAATGCGACGGAAATGTACAGAGTGTCTTGCAAATCTTGTAATATTCAGAAGATCGTAAACAGAAAAAAGAAAACGACAAAAGAATATGGACATAATTTAATAGCGCATAAATATGTAAATGATAATAATATCTTAACCCTTCATTCGATGATTTAGATTCTTCGACAATTTTCGTAGATTTAACGAGATAATAATAATAAGTTAATTTAATAATAATTAATAATGCAACTTAACAATGATTTTCATCGCTTATTAATTAATTTATGAAGTGGATATGTATCAAAGTAACTTCTGATTATATCTAATCCCTTGTTCCGTTCTCAGCCAATTGTGATCTCCTGTCTCCTTAAATTTCCACTTAAAGAAAAAGAAAAACATATTCATTATCTCTGAAAGCAGAAATATTTACAAGAATCAAAGCTATTGATACGAAATTCGGCAAAAAGGGGGAGGGTGGTAGTATTTCAAATTACGTCTCGTAACATTTAACCTCTTGTGCCACGCACGTCGAGAATATTCTGTTCCAAAATTGTAATAGTTTCTCAATGTAGTTTAAGTATATTTGAATGAAACAAAATAGGCAAAACAGACAATGAACTCGTTAATTCTCAATCATTTCTATCCAGTGATATCGTACCGGCGAGCTCGAAAAGAAAGCGACGAATTATATTGATTTAATAATAATTGAATTATTTTGATTAATAGTTATATAGTTTAATAAAACATTAATTTTGTAAATTAAAATTTAATTAATAATAATATAATTAATATAATATTATAATTTATTAATTTTATTATATTATTAAAGAATTTATTATTATTATTATTATTATTTTTTTAATTATATTTATTAAAAATTATTATTATTTAAGATTTTTAATTACAATAGAATTTTTACATATAATTTTTATTTTTTATATAATTATATATATATGTATAGTTTGTGATTATTTTTTATATTTTTAATATTTATAGTATGTGAGAGAATTTTGGGTTTAATATTATTAATTAGGATAAATTATGGGTTTGGTCATCAAAAAATAAAATTTTTAAATATATGTACGGTTTTGGTCGCTCGTTATGGTCCGCAATCAGTTTGCCCAGCGCAAAAAAAAATTAAAGAACGGAGCGTTCGTGAATTTTTCGTTCGCTGTACGATACTCTTCTCCCCGCGACACGCACACACTTGAAAAAAAAAAAAAAAAAAAGAAAAAATACAACCACTTATTTTCCCCGTAAGTAATAAACAGACTACGTTCAACGCCACGTATACACGTAGTCTCGTAGTTTCTCTCAGTGCGGCCCAACTTCGAGTTCCACGGAACTCGAAAGACAATGGAGCGTACCCGCGACGCCGTGTCCCAGATTTTCCAGCGTTTTCTTAGTCGCCGGGGCCAGTAGGAACAGGATCGGTACCACGCGGGCATTAGGCCGAAGAGCGACGGCTCTCTCGCATGTTGTTTCGCAGGCGTGGGAACGCACCGTGGCCGTGTATAAATCGACCAGGCTAGCCGATCGGAACGACGGCGTACGATGTTGGAGACAGTGCGCTGGATAAAGGCGTTAGAGAAAGATCGGGCCGGCTTGAAGATCTCCGAACGAAGGAGAAAACCGTCTCGCGTCTCGCAGTCTTGGCCTAGGATGGGACAGGGACGGTGATAGACAGGCACACGGAGGCGAAACGAAGAGAAAGAGCAGAGAGTTGCTTACGGTGTGTTTCAGCCGTGGACATTGTGTGCATAGGTTGATTCCGGTAACTGGATCTGCGATTGTTTTGCTCTTTTTTCTTTTTTTTATTTTTTATTTTTTTTTTTTATTTTGCAATCGGTATGTCAATGGTTATGACGATGAATTATTGGACGGGTGGAAGTGGCGCGTCTATTTACAGGTTTAGTCTACTTGTAGGTTGTAGGTTTATACTACTTACACTGCTGGGAGAATGTAACGTTGATTTTGTGAACGTCTATTGTTTGTGTATTGTTTTAGGAGTAAGCGTGGGTTTAGTATTGGGAATTGAGTTTGAAAAATTAATTTTGTTTTTTTCTTTTTTCTTGGTGTTCTGGACGACTTGCACTGTTCTTAGGACTATTTTTAATATTCTTAATTTAGTACTATTATTTTAGTACTATTTTTGTTACATTCTAATGATTATTTAATTTCTAATGATATTTTTAATATTGGAAATGCGTTTTATGTTGCTCGTACTTTTAATTGTTTCTTTTCATTTTATACATAGATAGTATTTTATACTATTTTATAGATAGTATTTAATACTATTTTATAGATAGTATTTTATACTATTTTATACATAGATAGTATTTTATACTATTTGTATATGATAGTATTTTATACTATTTTATAGGTAGTACTTTATACTATTTTATACATAGATAATATTTTATACTATTTTATACATAGATAGTATTTTATACTATTTTATACATAGATAGTATTTTATACTATTCTATACATAGATAGTATTTTATACTATTTGTATATGATAATATTTTATACTATTTGTATATGATAGTATTTTATACTATTTTATAGATAGTATTTTATACTATTTTATACATAGATAGTATTTTATACTATTTTATACATAGATAGTATTTTATACTATCTTATAGGTAGTATTTTATACTATTTTATACATAGATAATATTTTATACTATTTTATAGATAGTATTTTATACTATTTTATACACAAATAGTATTTTGATTATTTTTATATACAATATAGCATTTTTATACAATGTAGTATTTTATACAATATAGTATTTTATACAATACAGTATTTTATACAATACTGTACAATATTTTGTACAATATAATATTTTTATATTATATAGTATTTTTTATACAAAATAGTATTTTTATATACAGTACAGTATTTTTATATATACAATAAAACTAAATACCCAGAACCTAAAATCAGCCAGTTACTAATTAATATGTTTTTCAATTAAAATCAGCCTGTCGTTAATTGATTAGCTCTCCTGACAATCCTAACACGCCTCAATCTCTCGATACAAGATACACGCGCCTATAAATATGCCAATAAATACAAATATGTAGCAAATTGATCAGTGTGGTTCGGTAGTCGGCTTTCTTCCACACTACACAGCCGGAACGAGTATCTAGAATCAGCCTGTACTATATAGGTGTAGCAACGAGGCGTAAGGCAGCGAGCAAACTGCTTGCGCAACAACTCTTTTCCGCGAGCTATCTTGCCGAGCAACGCACACCGTACCAAATTAACGCGGCAACAGTGTAGACGCGAGTCGCCGCTCGGTTAAATGCCAGCCACACAGTGTGTGGAACAATTGATCGAGGGCCGCTTGCGGACTCGCGTCACC